CCCAGAGGAGCTGCACGTCCCCATGGCTGGTAGGGCCAGCGGCAGATATAATTAGCATAGGGTCCAGAGCGGCCACTCTGCTAGGAGGCGGGAGGTCCCGTGGACACCTTACTTGGTGAAACAGTGTCCCCTCAGAAGTGTTCATTTGGTGACTGGCTCTTTAGACAAAATGACAAAGTGAGGTTGGGGGGGGGCTGCACCCCTTTGGGCCCTGTGGGTGACTGAAGACATTACAAACACCCCTAGTCCTTCAAGACACAGACAGTGGAAGGAGAGGTGATAATTTAAGCCATAAAGGCATAAAGCAAGATAGGCCCATCAACAGGGAGACACAGAAGAAGCTGAACAAGGGCTGTAACCACCCCCAGGGCCCCTGTGGCCACATCCTGGAGCGGTGCCTGTTTTCCAGTTGGCTGGCTCCTCAGAGGTCCCCTGGCGATGTCACAATCCGATGTGATGTCAAACCGGCTCTGGGGTGAACTCTGGCCTTCCCGATGAGTCAGGGGGAGGGCTTCTGTGAGTGCCTGCTGTTTACACACAATTATGGCTGGCAGCAGCAGCAATGGCAGAAGCCCCAGGAGTCACAGGTCATGATGGCCAGGGTAGTGCCCAGTCTCTCATACCCCCATGTCCCCACTCCCATTTATTAAACCCCAGCCTCAGGGATGCTGGCCTCACCTAGCACCCAGGGGACTGTGCTGGGAGGAATTCACACCACCCAGAATCTACAGGGCCCACCTTGAAACACAGGTAAATCTGCCCTGAATGCCCGTCCCTGTCCCATCCCCTCCTATGTTGGGTCCACACCCCCTGCCCAGCCTGGAGCCACCACCCGGTGACTCTGCCTTCTCCCACTGTGGGGGAGGCACCATACTCCAGAGCTGACATGGGGACAAGAGAGAGTACCAGAGAGGAGGGGACATAGTAAGAATGCACTGGCACCCTCGGCCTCTGCTCGTCCACCACCTAACCATATCCTTTGCACACAGGCCCAGGGCACGAGGCCACACAAAACTCCGTTCCATGGTTGCATCCCCAGTGGCTCGAGTCCCCTCCCAGCCCCAAAATGAGACCTCGGCTCAGGCGCTCAGGTGGTCTGGGCAGGTAGCTGCCCCTCTAAGTCTTCACATCCCCAGAGCATACATAACAGCTTTCCCCACCAGGCCATCAGGAAGGTCACAGGTGCCCTCCGCAGGCTCCTAGGGGCCACATCCACACGGCAGGAGGGGCTGCAAGAGGCAGCCTTGCTCTGGCCAGGCCACCTGGGAGGGAGGGCTGTAGTCTACACTGTGGGAAAGGAATTAGCTAAATTAAGGATCCTTCTGCCAGTGCCCAGGTGATGTCCCTGAGCCACCCACCCATCAGCTGGCGAGCAGCCTTCACTGCCCACATGGCCACAGGGACGCTTGTGGGGCCTCCCACCTGCACCCCTGCCCACTCTGCCCGCCAAGCTCTGGGCTGCCCCCGTCCGGACCCTCTGCCCCCTTCCCAGTTCCACAACTATCACCTCATGGGAGGGGCCCCATAGCCCAGCCCCCATATGGCACCCAATTTCAGTTCCTTACTAACAAGGCCACTGGCAAGGTTTTCCTGCTGATGGACCTGCTGCCTGGACATGCCTGGTTCTTGCCTTACATACTCAGCCCATGTCTGTTAGACAAGGGCCCAGGCTCTTTGTGCCCCTACAGGCTCCATGCAAACTTCCATGCAGGGAAGAGCGCTGCCACTGGGGGATTACAGCAGGAGCTGTCTTTGGCCCAAGAGGGGCCAGGGCTGCACACACTCTAACAGGGCCCCACAACCCTGAGGGGAAGAAGGATTTAGAACTTAGGAAGGACCGGTCACTGGGACCCGCAAAGCCCTGAGGAAAAGGATCTGGAATCAGAGGGCTTGGGCACTGGGACCTTCAAAATCCTGAGAAAGATTCGGAATCAGAAGAGTCTGTCACTGGGACCCTCACAGCCCTGAGGGGAAGGATCCGGAACTCAGTGAGGGTCAGGCACTGGGATCATCACAGCCCTGAGGAGTAGGATCCAGAATCTGAGGGGGTCAGGCACTGGGACCCTCACAGCCCTGAGGCGAAGGATCTGGAATCAGAGTGGTCCGTTACTGGGACCCTCACAGCCCTGAGAGGAAGGATCTGGAATCAGAGAAATCAGTCACTGGGACCCTCACAGCTCTGAGGGGAAAGATCCAGAATCAGAAGGGTTGGGCACTGGGACCCTCACAGCCCTGAGAAGGATCCAGAATCAAACAGGTCGGGCATTCACCTAAAGCCTTACATAGGTAGAGCCAAAATCCAAACCTAGGTGGGTCTCCAAACCCCAGGCTCTGATGATCCTATCTGGGCCCTCGATGTTTCCTGAACAACGATGAGCTACTTCCCACCAAAGAGCTTATAATCTGGAGAGGAGAAGTCGCCTGTCAGCTGAGCTCTGCCAGAGATCCCACTCATGTAGAAGAGGCAGGTGCCCTGGGCAGGGCCACTTCCTACAACATGGTCAGGGGACACTGCGAGGGGGTGGCGTGATGTCATCCTGGAAGGATGGGTGACATCAGAACTTCCTCTCTTCTCTCCCGGAAGTCACCCCTCCACATAAGAAGGGAGATCCACCGCAGGAGTAGCTGCCTTGGAACTCACTGAGTATTTACATCAAAGAGGGGCCACCCAGAGTTAAAGACTGGGCAGTGAGCAGCTGGATGTGTGAGCACACCCTGACGTTCCAGCACGTTCTAGCTGGTCACCAGGTCTGCAGAGGGGCAGTTCTGACTCCAGACCCCTCTGAAGACAGAGATGGCAGGGCCTGTACCCAGGCTGCTCCAACAGCTCCCGGAGCCACAGAGAATGTTTCACAGAATGCTCCTTCCCTGTGCCCTGACACACCTGAGTTTATAAAAGCCTCGTTTCAGTTTAAAAAAACACAAAAATCCTCCCCACAAGTTCCTGCTGGCAAACCACGTAACCACAAGTCTCGAGGACAGAAGACTCTGGACGATGGCTGTTGACAGACTGTGTACACGTGAAGCTTTGTCAGGAGCCAATGAGAGTCTCTGATTACACAAACAAGTTCTCCAAGTCGCCTTCTGATCCCACCACCCAAAACCCCTGGGAGCTCATGCTGCCCTGATACATACTCCGCCCACCACACTGCCCAAGGAGGAAGAAGAAACCCAAAAATTGCTGAGTAGATTAAATTCCCTGTCAGCTTTGGAGAAAAACAAGAGTGTAGATCACCCAAAAATGTAAAACAGCCTGGAGCACTGGCCAGTAAGCACGCTGCTCCCAGGTCATGCTGGGAACAGCCTGGCTGTCTGCAATTAACTTCACCCTCACGGGAGGAAGACCCAGATCTGCATGGGATGTCACCCATACCCAAAATTAAAAATAGCAGCATGACAGGCAGGAGATAGATGCCAGGCTAGGCTTTCCGCAACCGGGGCAGGCGAGGGTTGTAACTCGGGCTGACCAAGTCCCACATCCGCCTTATTCATGTGACTCACTGGCTCTCCCCTAGCTGCTTCTAGGAAAGTCGCCTTCCTTCCCACAGATCACACCTGGATCGTCAAGTAAGACTACTTGTGGCACGAATTCCACCAGGTAGGAGGCTCTGGCTCAGGCCACCTCTTCACCTGTGGGGGCACCCCTGCCTCCTCTTGGGGGAACCTTTTGGACAAGGTAAGAACTGGCTTTTCCAAACCAAGCTAAGATCTTTGGTCAACAAAGGGGGAAACTGAGGCACCGCGCTGGGAAGGAAGTCACCCAGAGAAGAAGGAAGAAGTGCCTGGAAGCTTCAGCGCCCAGAGCGTGACAGGAACCAAAAGGGGAAGAAATTCCCAGCTTGGCTCATGGTGCCGAGTGAGTCCAGGGCAGGAAGAACGCCACATTCCTTCCTAGTTAGTCTCTCCTCTCACGCTCACGGCCTCCCACCCCCACCCCAAAGACACAAACACACGCAGGGAGCCAGGCCTCCCCAAGATTGGATGTCCCCCCACCCCGCCACCTTACCACTCTGAAGACCCCACTTTCCAAGTACATAGATAAAGCACTGAAAACCACTTCTTCCCAAGACCTGTCCATTGGACACCTGCAACTCAGGTCCCCGTGGGGAGGGAGGGCGCCATGACACACACAGAAACAGGAGCAGCAGGTTCTGACCAAGGCCCCAGATGTACCCCCGAGACCGACCTGGAGGACAGGACACAGTAGCCACCCCCTCCTCCCCAAAGATGGCAGAACCGAAACGCCTGAAACTTCCCCAGATGGGCCCAAATCAGCTCCTGAGAAGTTCAAGAGTCCGCGGCCACCAGATGCGGTGGCCAGAGCTTCCGCCCAGGTGCCCATAAGGCGGTGTCCCCCACTGGCGGTGAGCGACCCCCTCATGTGCTCGCAGAGAAATAGCAATTCCCCCCACACTCACACACCCCAAAGGTGTCAAGTCGGGCAGGGTGAACTGGAGGAGACGGGGTTTATGGACGAGCTGTCAGTTTCTCCCCAAACTCCCTTTCCTGAGAATTAAGAGCGACCCGGACTCTGGGGCCTCAATGACAGCCTTGAAGGCGGCACCCAGGGACAGACGCAGCCTCCCCGCCCACCCGCCCACCCGCCAACTCGCCAACTCTGCGATCCGAAGGGGAAAATCCCAAGGAGGCCCTCACAGGCGCCCCGAAGACGGGGACCCCCTACCCACCTGACCAGAGACCCAGACGGAAGAGCTGCCACCAGGAGGGCAAACAGTCACCCCACTACCCTTCCAGACACCCAGGCGGAAAAGCCCCGGCTCCCCTCTGCCAGGTGCACAGACTCGGCCCTGCCCAAGTGCCGGGAAAGCAAAGGAAGGACCCCCGGAAACCTCCGAATGCCCTTCGGCCGGGCGCGCGAGTCTGGGCTCCTTGCCTCCCCCCGGCGCCCAGGAAGGCCGCGCCGACCCCGCGCTCCCCGGCCCCGCGCCCCCAGGCCAGGCCCCGCGCCCCACACGCCCCGCCGCCGCGCCGCTGCTCACCTGGCTGGCGCGGTAGCTCTCGAAGGCCCTCAGGGCGCTGTCGGTGAGCTTCACGTGGAACACGGACACCCGGCTGCCGTCGCCCAGCCGTCCGCAAGACAGCCCGTAGCTCCGAGACTCCTTCAGCGCCGCCATCTTGCGACCATCGCTCCCCCGCCCCCCGTCCCGGGTCCGGCGCCGACGCGCGGCCACGCCCCGCCCGCCGCCCGCTGACGTGCTGCATTATTCATGAAACGCGGAGAGTCACGCCCCCTGCCCACCCACTGTCCCGTCCCGACGGGCTGCATATTCATGAAGTCACGGCTGACCCCGCCTTTCAAGTCCCTCGGCCCTGGGCCCGGACTCCGCCCAGATACGCGTACCCCCTCCAGACCACGCCTCTCTAGCAATTATTCATAACGCCGATCAGCCGGGGGGTGGGGGGCCCCACCCACCTGCCGCTGACGTAATGCATTATTTATGAGGTCCCTTCCGCCCTCCGTCATTGACTTCGGTTGGGCGTCGCGGGGAAGAGAGGAGGGGACGCGGCCTGCACTCCGCACGTGGGGGGCGGGGCCAGCGGCTGGCTCCGGTGAGTGGGCGTGGCTATGCAAACCTAGCGCGCGTAGGACGCTGGGTTAGGACGCTCGTACTTCCCTTAAGGTGGGCAGGAGGCTGTTGCGGGAACACGGTAAACTTTTTCCACGTTAAGAATGTACTTTGCGTAGAATAAAATTCTACAGCCCCATGGGCCCTGAGTGAGAGTGAAGTCCAATTTCCCCGTATTTTTATGAACAACTCTATAGCCTTACATTTCTACATGTCCTCAAATTTACCGTCTCAGGTGCACGACCCAATTAATTTTTGTAACTTAATTACAACTTTACCATAATCAATTTTAGAACATTTTCCTCCCCACAAAAAGATCCCCTCCTCCCATTTAATTAGTCCCCATCCCCACCCCACCCCCAGCCCCTAGCAACTGCTAATCTACTTTCCGGCTGTATGGATTTAACAGTATAAATGGAATCATACAATATTTGTCCTTTTGTGACTGGCTTCCTTCACTGAACATAATGGTTTTTGTTTGTTGGCTTGCTTTTTTTAATAACAACTTTATTGAGAGATAATTCACGTACCATAAAATTCATCCTTTAAAGTGTATAATTCAGTGGTTTTCATTATATTCACAAAGTTGTACAACCATCACCACTATCAATTCTACAGCATTTCCATGCCCCCACAGAGAAACCCTGTACCCATTAAGCAATAACTCTCCACTCCTTACGCCCACTCACTAAACCATCGCCCTCTATTGAGTTCATTCCGACCCATGGTGACCCATGGTGACCCCATGTGTTACAGTACAATGGCTCCATAGAGTTTTCTTGGCTGTAATCTTTATGGCAGCAGATCACCAGGTCTTTCTCCATTGGTGCCGCTGGGTGAGTTTGAACTGCCAACCTTTAGGTTAGTAGTAGAGCACAAACTGTTTGCACCACCCAGGGGCCTTCCCCCATTCCCTAGACAACCACTAATCTACTTTCTGTCTTTATGGAGTACCTATTCTGGACATTTCATACGGAGCCTTGGTGGCACAGTGATTAAGCACTCTGCTAAGTGCTTGGCTGCTAACCGAAAGGTCAGTGGTTCAAACCCACCAGTCACTCCACAGAAGAATGATATGGCAGTCTGCTTCTATAAAGATTTACAGCCTTGGAAACCCCATGGGACAGTTCTACTCTTTCCTAGAGGGTCACTATGAGTCTGATTCATGTGGTCCTTTCCATCTGGCTTCTGTCACTGAGCATAATATCTTCAAGGTTCATCCACATTGTAGCATGTATCAGAACTTCAGTCCTTTTTATGGCTGAATAATATTCTGTTGTGTAGATATGTCACATTTTGTTCATCCATGCATCCACTGATGGACGTTTGGGTTGTTTCTACTTTTTAGCTGTTGCAAATAGTGCTGCTGTGAACATTCCTTCACAAGTTTTCACTTTTCTTGGGCATATGTCTAGAAGTGGAATTGCTGGATCATGTGGTAACCCCAAGTTTAACTTTTGCAGAATTGCCTGACTTTTCCACAGTGGCTGCAACACTTTATCAATCCCCCATTTTACAGATTGGGAAACTGAGACTGGAGACCGGCCCTGGTCACACTGTGAACACCCTCTGAGTTGTTTTCCTTGTCACTTTAATCTAATTAGGGGCAGTGGCCACAGGATGACAATGTTGGAGTGAAAGGCAGTTTAGGGACCTTCTATCTCATTAGTTCTGCCATCAGGCTGACACGACCACACCCCCCCCCCCCCATTTTACAAATGGAGACATCGAGGCCCCGCCAAGGTTGAACTGCTGACCGAGTCAATGCTAGATCCTCTGTGATGCCGTTTTCCTGTACCTGTCATGAATATCCCATTTACAAATGGAGAAACTGAGGCTCAGAGGGGCGAAGTGGCCCACCTGAGGCCACCCTACCGGTGAGCAGCTGGGCTGGAACTCAAACTCGGAACTTTTGGACTGATTACCTACCACCCTGTCTCTGTCCCCATTGAATGCTCCCAGCACGAGTCCGGGTGTGAAGTGGGTGGGAAGAATGCAGCTGAGTAAATAAATGATCTCGTTTAATCCTTACAACACAAATCAGCCCATTTTGTGGACAAGAAGACTGAGGCTCAGGGAGCCAGCCCAGGGTCACATGCTTTGCTGCAGAAACTTGAACTCTAGCCTGTCTGAGCCCAGGGCGGATGCTATGGGATCCTTTGCCCAGATCAGCTGATCCTACAGGTAGATGTCTTTGCGTGCCCAGACACGCTGACCGTCTAAACCGTCTCCCCAGTTCATGCCCAGCTGTTTATCCGGGAAGCTAGGCCAGGTCAATATTGGAGCAGGTGGGGCTGCACTGTCCTGGGGGGTCACAGGAGGGCAGGAGCGGGGTCATGGGAGAGGAAAGGCAGCCTGACTGCTGAGTGCAGAAGGTGGGGGGAGCGGGCTTTGCGGCTCCCTGCAGGACCTTAGGAGCCCTAGTGGCGCAGTGGTTAAGCACACAGTTACTAACTGAAAGGTCGGTAGTTTGAACCCACCAGCTGTTCCACTGAAGAAAGACGTGCTGGTCTGCTTCCATAAATATTTACAGCCTTGGAAACTCTATGGGGCAGTTCTACTCAGTCCTATAGGGTGACTATAAGTCAGAATTGACTCAACAGCAGGGGGTGTGGTTTTTATGGGCTTGACCTTAGGAAAGGCACCACCCCTGAGTTTCTGTGGATTTACCTGGGAGATAGATAATAGTCATAATAATCCTCAACCTGCACTTACAATGAACCAGGCTCTGTGCTGAGCACTTGGCACCCACGACCACCTCCTGGGGTGGATACAGTGGTTTGGGCCCATTTGGCAGATGAGGAGACTGAGGCTTGGAGAGGTTCAAGGAATTGGGAACACTACAACCATGCAAGAGGCAGCTTGGCAACGAGCAGTTTTCCATTTTACACTGGATTTCCCAGAGCAATAATGGAAGACTTCAGCAGGCGTTGGCACACTCTCCCAAAGTCTCTCACAACTAGGCCACTCAAGGAGTTGGAAACCAGTTAATCACCTTGGGGTGGCCCCTCCACACATACTGCATCTTAGAGTTCTCGTTCTAAGGTGGGAGCAGTGACCCCATCCTGCTGCATGCCCTCCTTGTGGCCTTGGCCATGTCTTGCCCTCTCTGAGCCTCAGCTTGCTTGTCCATAAAATGAGGGTAAGTAACAGCACCTACTTCAGAGCCGGGCCCTCAGTCAATGGCAAATGGCATCATCATGCCTAGTGTGGTGAAGCAGTCTCATTGTGGTTGATTTGCAGCTCTGTAATGACTGATGCCACCACTCATCTGTCAGTTTGTCATACTGTGGTGGCTTGTGTGTTGCTGTGATGCTGAAAGGAATGCCACCAGTATTTCGAATAGCAGCAGGGTCACCCATGGTGGACAGGTTTCCACGGAGCTTCCACACTTAGACAGACTAGGAAGAAGAACCTGGCAGTCTACTTCTGAAAAAACTAGTCAATGAAAACCTTATGGACAGCTATGGGACATTCAGACAGCACTGCATTGGGCAACTCTTCTTTCAAGTGCTAAAAAGCAAAGATGTCACTTTAAGGACGAAGGTGCGCCTGACCCAAGCCTGATATTTTTTTTTTTTAATTGTGCTTTAAGTGAAAGTTTACAGTTCAAGTTAGTTTCTCATAAAAATTTATACACACATTGTTATATGACTCTACTTACTCTCCCTATAATGTGACAGCACACTCCTCCTTTCCACCCCAGATTTCCCGTGTCCATTCAACCAGCTCCTGACCCTCTGCCTTCTCATCTTGCCTCCAGACAGGAGCTGCCCATTTAGTCTCATGCATCTACTTGAGCTAAGAAGCACACTCTTCACGAGTATCATTTTATGTCATATAGTCCAGTCTAACGTTTGTCTGAAGCGTTGGCTTGGGGAATGGTTTCAGTTCTGGGCTAACAGAGAGTCCGGGGGCCAAGTCTTCCGGGGTCCCTCCCGTCTCAGGTTAGACCATTAAGCCTAGTCTTTTTACTAGAATTGGAGTTCTGCATCCCACTTTTCTCCTGCTCCATCAGGGACTCTCTGTTGTGTTCCCTGTCAGGGCAGTCATCGGTGGTAGCTGGGTACCATCTAATTCTTCTGGTCTCAGACTAATGGAGTCTCTGGTTTATGTGGCCCTTGGGCTAATATTTTCCTTGTGTCTTTGGTGTTTCTTCTTTCTCCTTGGCAAGCCATGGTATTTTCAACTGTCTCATATGCATGTGAAAGCTGGACAGTGAATAAAGAAGACCGAAGAATTGATGCCTTTGAATTACAGTGTTGGCGAAGAATATTGAATATACCATGGACTGCCGGAAGAACAAACAAATCTGTCTTGGAAAAAGTACAGCCAGAATGCTCCTTAGAAGCAAGGATGGCCAGACTTCATCTCACGTACTTTGGTTAGCAGTCAATCACTTTAACCTCTACACCAACAGGGCTCCTTTACATCTCACGTACTTTGGACATGTTATCAGTAGGGAGCAGTCCCTGGAGAATGACATCATGCTTGGTAAAGTAGAAGGTCAGCGAAAGAGAGGAAGACCCTGAATGAGATGGACTGAC